TTATATGCTTTCTGTTATTGTGCACATCCGGTTTTCCCTACACTTTACACTTCAATGAAGAAAAAGCATCAATTCTCCAATGTATGTATTTACTCTCCCAAGTTTATTGTTTTATATAGTGATTTGGATTGCATATTTTTTAAGTAAAATTATATCTTAGCGTTTGGCCCTAATTCAATTTGATTCAATTAATGGAGATATAAATTAAGAGAAAAATGAGAAAAATAAGGAATCTAGTTTGATTGAAAGTATAAAATATATCTACTTTTAAAGTTGAATAATGGTAGAAAACTAAGTTTGAGTAGATTTTTTTCTATTCAAATTTTCTTTGTAATCAAATAACTATTCGGGATTAGGTTATCCACGAGGATTACTCTTGCATTATTCTTCATTCGTATTATTGAAATTTTCTCCGCTTTTATGCTTCATTTTTTTCAAAAAACAATTCACTTAAAATCTTAATGTATGTTTTATTAACACGCATCTCGTTATCTCCTAACGTTCTAGTTCCATTTTTATTTTCCCTTTTAGGTTATGATTGTATGCTTTATATTGTGTACAATCACTTATGCATCAATGGTAATTAGGGTTTTACATAGCGTTCGCGGTCACGTTTTCGGTCGTGTCGTGTTTATCACGGTTGCAGATATAACTATGCTATTGCGGTCATTGCGGATATCGCGATCGTGAATTTTTTTCGAAGAAGCTGATTTTTTTTAATAAAAAAAACTTTTTTTAAAAAATAAAATAATGAAATAATAGCGGAATAGCGGTCTGCTATTGCCACGATTGGCTACGGTCCGTTAAATTGCAGCCGCGATCCGCCGCTATTGGTGTGATCCCACTTCACACCGTTATTTTCCGCATTAGAGGTTTCAAACACCACTGCGACCGCGATATAATGGCCGCAACACTGCTATTTTGCCGCTATTTGAAACCCTGATGGCAATCTTCGGGTATTTAATGCTCGGATCACAACTTGAATCACAAGAAACATTGAATCTTCCAACAAACAATCTCTGCTCCAAGGTGGCTATCTACACCACCCTGGTGAACCCCATAGCAAATATGCATTGATGGTCACTCCCCTCGTCAATGCCATTAAAACCCGATTTTCATGCTGCCATTACAGCCGGCGATTTCTCAGCAGCTTCATCGGCACCAACTTGTAGATCAGCACCGTTTTTGTGGCTTTGGCCATTCCGTTTTTCGGTTCTCTCATGTCCCTCGTTGGAGCCTTTTAAGTATCACTGCTTCTATCATACTTCCATGCTTATGCTACTTGAAATTTTCTGGCATTTATCGGAGGTTAAACGGGGAACCGATTGGCATTTGCCTTATAATTATAGTGGGTGTTTATCTGGTCATATTTGGTATTTATACAACTGTTGTAGATATCATAGTTAATTTTTAAATAAGAGCGGCTAACAGCTTTATAATTCATTTAATAATGATTGCGTAAACATTCCTACAAACAACTCGAGATTTTTAGGGATAACAATTATCTCTTAATATGTATATTTGTACCATCTTAGTTTTTTGTTTTTGTTTTTGTTTTTGTTTTTGTTTTTGGATAATTTTGCATTGTATAACCCATAGAGCAGTGAAACAACCATAATACAATTACAACTCAATAAAAAAGCTAAAACATTTACATCTCTTCACGTGCTTGCAAAGCCCTAAGCGACCTACTGTTCCTCTAACACTAAACAGAGTGGATAAAGGAAACATAAAATAGGTTGGTGCTTTCTATGTGAACACTTCAGTTGAGGTTATTGATACTCCGAAGGTGGTATCATATCTATTTATATTCAAAAGGTTCAATTTTACATGCTCCAAATAAGAGTCGGTATTTTATCAATCTTATTTTATTTTTGAGTCTTTATGCATTACATAAATGTATTTTACATTTTTGAATCAATTTTCTAACGTCGAGTTGAGTCAAAAAAATAATTTTTTTAAATCGAGTAAAATTTTACCTATCCTAATTTTAAAACTAATTTTAGATGTTTTAGAAAATAACTTATTTTAAAAAGAATAAAATTATCATCTAACATTTTTAATTAGATAAGTTCAAACTCATATAATATCACCGTTTATAAAGCATTTTCTAAAATTTATTTAGATTAGTAATTTAAAAGGTCCAAATTTAAATCAGAGTAAAATCTGAATTTGAAAATCGATTACCCCTTACAATGTAAATAATAATAATAATACTACATTTTTTAGAAGTCACGTGTTTTTTCATTTAAAAAAGGTAAAAGGGTGTGAGAGGCCATCATACTTTTTGAAAATAACTAATGCAGCCCTCGTCATTTTTTTTGACCTAATCGTACTCTCAAACATAGAAAACATATTTAATGTGGTTCTTTAACCATCGGTTTCCGTTGTTCAAGTGCTAACGTGACAATCCATGGTAGCAAGTGATATGGCAGATAGACTAAATTAAATTTTTTTTTGTTGAGTTTGAGAGTCAAATTGATTTTTTTTCTAAAAGTCCAAGGGCTTATTTAAATTTGTTTTAGAAAAAAAAATTATTTTATATTTTAAATTTTAACTTTAAACTATAGAAAAAAAATTAAATATATAAATATTTAAAATAAAAATTGAATTACTAAAACTTTTAAAACATTATATTAACTAGGGTGATTGAAAATACGTTATTGTTAAATGATTTATTCAATTTAGAGACAAAATCTAATGTGAATTTTATTTTATTTAGCAATATAATCATATTATTTTCGTACATGTCAATTTTAATGTGAGTTTTATTTTTTCTCATTTTGTAGAGACAAATTTTTATTCCTTGAAAAATTAAAAAATGACAAAAAGGGTATATGAGGCTCTCGTCATGTTATATTCACTAAAATGCTCTTAATTGTATAATTATTTTTAATTATATATTTTACGATAATTTATATGTATATTTTAATTATATAATTTTAATTTTTTAATTTTATAAGATCTTATAATATTTATTTAATTTGATTTTATAAAAAATTTAGTAAAATCGAATTAGAAAGATATTTAGAGTTTAAGATAATTATAGGTAAATATAAAAAAATAAAATTTATATAGGATAGATGAGTGAAAGTTTAAATAAATAAAATTCAATTTAAATTCGAGATAAAATAATGACATATTTTAATTTTAGCAATTTAATTTATATTTTTATAATTAATTTTTTTAATTTTCTATTTTAAATTAGAAATGTTTTTATTTTTTCTAAAAAATAAATAAGCCCATGAACTTTTAAAGAAAAATTAATTTGGCCTTCGAACTCAACCGAAAAATCAATTTAACCATCTGTCATATCATCAAGATGTCACCCGCCATTGTGGATTATCACGTCAGCACCTTAACGATCAACGACTGAAACCATTGGTCAAAGGTTCATATTAGATCTGTTTTTTAAGTTTGAGGGTCACATTGGATGAAAAACAATGACGAGAGTTATATTGGTTTTTTTTAAAAAGTACGAGGGTCTCACATACTCTTTTGCCTTTAAAAAGTTACTTTTTGTATAATACTTAATATATTTTTTAGTGCCTAAACTATACTTTAAAATATGATTTGGTTTAAAGAATTTTTTACTAAAAATGTGTCTAATGTTTCAACGTTACCATTTTAGGTATCCGAACAATAATTGGCGTTAAAAAATATCGTTACGTGCACATGTCACATTCTGATAATTTTGAGAATTTTTATTTGAAATAAAACATAAAAAATATAGTTTAAAAAAAACTAAAAAAATATTAAAAAAATTCAAAACTTTTAAAACATTAATTTTAATCTCATCGCACAAATCCCATCTCATTTCCAGGCACCGTCGGCCATCGGCTTACCACGTCTCCATCGTCGAATGATTGCCCATATATCGTCGTCCACCCACTGACCGACAATCGTCCTTATCGTTATTCTAAATCCCTAAATACATAATTCTCCAAATTTCTAACCCTAAGATTGGGGACTTTTCCAACTATTTGACATTAAATAACATAGGGATTCAACGTGATTTGGCACCGGGAGTTTATGGGAATTAAACGGTGGGAGAAAGGCTTCGAATTCATGGGGAATTCAACCACGAAGAGGTTGCAGGGAAGGGGGGAGAAGGGAGAACACGGGGAGGGATCGGGGGAGGGTGACGTGGCAGGGGCCGGTTATTTTTGTTCTTTTTATTTAAAAAAAATAATATTTTTATTATTAAAAATACTAAAAAATCAAAAAATACAACGATAGATACTTAAAAGTTTAAAAAATATAGTTGTCTGAAATTGTAACGGATAAAACATTAGATATATATTGTTAACAAAAAAAAATTACGCACCAAATCGTATTTTGAAGTATAGATTAGGCACTAAAAAGTGTATTAAGCCTTTATGTAATGTATGCTATTTTTTAAGATTTAAAAAAACATTTATGAATGATAAAAATAATAATAAATAAATGAACAAAAATAATAATAATGTAATTGAAAATAAGCATTAATAACATCTATGGCGTTGTCAGTGTCCGAGTAGATATTCTACCTGGAAATCTAACATTTAAGGTTGTCAACATATGATTACCAACGAACAGGACTTGACACAGGATAGATGTTACCAATATATGAAATACAATGGCACAAAATAATAACATGAAATTATTTTGAATGTATATTTTTGTAATTATAATTGATAATTTCACTGCAAACTCCAGCCCCGGCATAAATTATCAAGCATCAGAATCTAACCTACTTTTTACTGTAAATGAACCTAATCAAACAGTCTGATCTTCAACTGCAGATCAAACTGGAGCTTTGAAAAATCCTACTTTCATATCTACAATATGAATATACATCAAACACAGACAGATTCAAGTGCTTCGAGGAAAATAAATAATAGCAACCGGACCTAACTACTTACAGACAAACAGATACAAAGGCAAAATTAAATGGGGCAATGAAACATAACCAAATTTCGCAGGTTGCACAATGAATATTTTCTATATTCTTGAACCAACAAAGGTAACATATCAAGTAATTCAACTACGAAAAGCTAATCATTTTCATGTGTAAGATCAGAGTATCTAGCAATGAATATATATCATTGAAATGAAATTGAGAATCATACCCTGAAAAAAACCAATAGACTGAACCATTTAACTCGAGACAGCTCTCACCAGCCATCTTCTTCAACCCTCCATCTTTCATAAACCTCCGAACACTGGCCGCCCGATCCCACATTCCAGATTCTGCATACATGTTAGCAACCATTACCAGATTCCCAGCCCTCCTTGGCTCCAACTCGAGCAACCTCTTTTTCACGTTATCACCAACATCATCAGTGCCAGTAACACTATGAACACTGCATGCACTTAACAGTGTCCTCCATAAGACCGGGTCTGGTTCGATAGGCATTTTGTTTATGAAAGTATAAGCGTCTTTTAAACGGCCAGCACGACCCAAGATATCAACTATGGCACCATAATGATTCATCATAGGCTTGATCCCGTGAACATGCTCCATTTCGTGAAAATATCGGAACCCATCGTCGACCAATCCAGCATGGCTACAAGCACAAAGAACTCCAAGGAATGTAACATAATTTGGTCTTATAAAAGAACTTCTCTTCATCTCTGTAAAAAGTTCAAGGGCTTCCTTAGCAAAACCATGTTGAGCAAATCCCAGAATCATTGCACTCCAAGTCCACACATTTTTCTCCTTCATTCTTTTGAAAACTCGGCTAGCATATCGAACATCTCCGCTCTTCGCATACATATCAACAAGTGCAGTTCCCAATTGAATATTCAAAAGTAAACCTCTCTGAATAATTTGCAAATGAAACAACCTCCCTAAGGTTAAGAACCCCAACTCTGCAAATGCTGAATGCATGATCACCATCGTTGTTTCATCCATATCAAAACCGCAATCTCTCATCTTAACAAAATACCCAAGCGCATCCTCAAAGTAGGAATTCTCAACACAAGCAGTAATCACGGCGTTCCACGAAACTACAGTTCTTTCCCACATTTCATCGAACACTTTCTTTGCATCCACTATCTTTTTACAACACGAAGCATAGCCTCGGATGAGCATATTCCATGTAGACGGAGTTGAATTGAGTGAGTTAAAGAGAAGGGAATGCGAGTAACTGAGGTTTTTGAAAGGAGATAGAGAGGAGAACCTAACAAGCTCAGTGAGAAGAAAAGAATCTTGGTGTAGATTAGAGATGACGATTTGGGCGTGGATTTGAGAAATATGTTTGATCGAAGAACAAAGCGATAAGAAAAGCAGACATTTATGCTTTTTCGAAACGATGTTCCCGTTACAAATTTTGGAAGGCACTGCCATTTGTTTTCAAAATGAAATAATATTTAAGAAATATTAAGTTTATACATAGAACAATGTATAAAGTAAAAAAATAATGTATAAATTATGTACACTTGTACAATGACTCAAGAATGTTGAAAATTACATTTTATTAATTAATTCATACGAAATACAATATAATATCTATTTAAAGAGTTCAATCATTTGACAATAAATTATCATGTCTCTAATATTTTTCATATTTAAATTTGGGACTTCAAAATATAACAACAATTGTTTACCATCGAAGTCGTTTGGTTTATACTTAAAAATTATTATTGTTTTAGTAGTTGGAAGTGGTAAATGTGATGGAGAGAAAAATGATTTATACGACGCAATAGAGAAATTATTTTCTCAATTAAATGAAATATATATTAGATGAGAAAAGATGTTTAAATCAAGCCTTTTTTTTATATGGCATATAGTTGAAGTGTTAAGTGTTAGAGTAATAATATAGAAAACACCAATTGATACACATGAATGAAATAGTTCAACACTTTTCAAAAACATTATACCAAATAATCTATTCTAATAAATAATTTTTTCAACAATTAATTTCTTTTAAGATTAGATCCCACTATATTTACCAGTTAGAAAGAAAAAAAAATGTAAATTTAATGATTAAGTAAGCGTTGAGTTGTGGAGAACGTCACCTTTCTATGACCTGGTTAAAACGAATGAGGAAAAGAAAATTGATGAAGAAAGAAAAGGTGGATAAGGAAAAAAAAATGTCACTGTTGGCTCTCCTAGAACTCACTACTGGGGATGGGTACCAACACAATCTGATAAGTTTATTTGATTTTATTAGATTGAGTTTTTCCTTTTTTTAAAAAAAAAAGTTTAAATTTGATTCAGGTTAGATCAACTTTTTTAAAGGTCATATTTGGGACATGTCGGATTCGGGTTAGGTTAAAAAATATTCGATCCGAATCGATTCAAAAAAATATAATTTATCTTTTATATTTTAGAATAATTGTAATAATATCTCTCTGTATATTATTTTATCAATTAAATTCATATTTTTTATTGAATAAAAATAATATTTTTTAAATATATTATTTCAGATTAAGTCAAATCAAATTTAAATTTTATCTCAAAAAACGAGTTTAATTTGAGTTGAATACATATCAAACGAAAGATTTCAAATCGAATCAAATTAACCGAAAACTTAAACTAATCTAACCCATGTTCATCCCTACTCACGGCAAAACCTAATATTATATGGCTTAAAATCAGATTTTCATTATACCATGGGTAAAAGTAAACCTTAGGTCCTCCCTAGTTGCTCCCTTCTGCAAAGACGGCCCCAAAACTAGCCGGTTGGGCACCAAACCACCATCAAGGCCCGACCTCAGCCTAGCAAACTCAATCATTTAAGTTTGTTATTTTCTAGTCCGGGCCAACTCTAAATATTGATTCAGAATTTTTGGGACGTTACAAATAAAACTCAGAGATTATTTAGGATTGCATTCTAGGCATTGTAGGTTACTCTCGAGCTAAACAATATAATATTTTTTGTTTAAATTCTTAGATAATGGCATATGTAGGATATGTATTTCATTCTAAATGATATTGATGATCATTCTTCTTTTAACAATTTAGATTTGAGGATGAATTTTTTTTAAGAGTAGGGAAATGATACGAGGATAAGAAGAGTCGAACTAATAATATTAAACAAGAAGTTGAAGCTATTTTTCAAGGTTGAAACATCGGTATGTGATGATTTTTTTTAATGAAATTTGAATATTTCTAGCATATGGGTCAATATATCTTCTTTCAATAAGATCGATTTATCTTTTAATTTTTCAATACATCTTAAAATACGTCAATATGATGTCTAAATCTCGAGATGTGTTCATTTTAAGTAAGACAACGTAAACAAAAGAAAATCTAATATGAAATTAATACGATATTTTATAATAATTATAATTTTTTAATAATTTTTATCTAGTATATGTCATTTAAATTAATTTAGGTTTGTACATTATGTGTTAAGATCATAATTATAATTTGTTTTATTATTAGAGGGAAAAGCTTAAACGTATGACAAATTCCATATTTTTAGGAGAAAATAAATTTCATGTTTTTAGTAGATATGTATCAATTACATATACATATCAAATCTATGTGAGCATATCTCTTTTTGATTTATTCAAATAAAATACATTTTGGACTTTTATCTCGCAAGCTAATAATTTTTGTATCTTGCAAAAGTGTGTTTACTTAATCTTTACAATAAATTATTAAGGCTCGTCTTTCACATTTTGATTTATCAAACAATCAGTTCTTAAAGAATCGATTAGAGTTGTTTGAAATTTTTTTACTGAATCATTATATACCATCTCCTAGCATTAATGTCAGGTTTAGAGTGATGATGACTACCTGTATATTGATAAGATAAACATAATTATTAAATATTAAATTTAACTGACAAATTATGTGAACTTATCAAATGATCATATCAAAGAATCATAACTATCCGAAGAAAAAGGAATTATAAAAGTTTGACGATTCTATTTGTGAAAGATATTGAAACAGAGCTGTGATTTGCTGAATAAGCACAACAAATACAAACATGATTTAAAATAATGTGATTAACATATTTAACCAACGAATTATTACTTTGGTTTCATTTTGACCATCTAATTATTATTTTTTAAATATACCTAAAGTTATGTTTTTAACCCACTGTTACAAATTATCATCATCAAATCATAATTTAAAAAATGGTTACATCAGCAATTCTATTTATTTGAACGACAAATGACCAAATGTTTATTTTACTGACTAATGATCAAATGTAAAGCTAATTCTAATTTGAAAAAATATAGTTAGGTGACCAAAAATACAATACAATCACTATAAATAATCAAAAATTGTATAGTATAAATTATTAACAAATAAAAAATACAAAATATCTCAGATAAGTTATGGTTTGTCAAAATATACATAAGATATTTTCAAATATTCAGCCATTGCTTTTTTTATCTTTGATACATTAATTTATACTTTCATTTGCATATATTTATACCATAATTATGTAAAAATATTTTATATCTGAATAAATTTCAATTCACTAATAATAATAAATATTTTTGTGATAATGTCAGTAGAGGAGAGAGTTTACACTCCCATCTGTTAAAAGTTTCCTATATTACTTCATTGGGACAGCAAGACTTGCAAAGGATAGAGAGACTATGTGGTTCATGCTTTGATACTTCATTTAAGTGATGGAGAAAATCTTTTATTAATTTCTGGATTCACAAAACAAATGATTAGCAAGCACCCCTCAAACATCCAAATACGAACCAAGGAAATCATCCCAAGATATTGCCACACTCCCCCATCAACATATCTAGTTCATAGACTTGCAAAGGATACATGTTCCCTTTTTCTATGGTTTTACCTCGAGCCGGAGCATCTATGTATACGAAACTCTTCTTTCCTGATCAAACTGTGTATTCGAGCAACTCCATAACAGCCCTGCAAAACCCTTAGACAGGACTGCACAAGGAGACTCGCAACAGCCTATCGGATTACTGTGTTTAACGATTTCCATGCAGTTATCAGATGAATTCGGGGGAAGATTATCTAACCTGTTGTTAACAGATGGGCTAGAGATCAACCTATTTCTCTTGGAATTCAATGTGCAATTAAGGTTTGAAGAGTTCGACAAGAATGGTTCCAAGGACTCCATTTTATCTAACCCGGGAACTATTTTTAATCCTGTCATTTGATATCATTATATTAACATATAAATTATCTATTCTAGTCCATAATATTAGCAAATGTATTAAAAGGTGAATATTCCGGCATACCGGGCAAAGTTTCATCAATTGCACATGACTGGGACTCCAGATCACCACCGCTACAGAAAACATTTCTATCTTTATTCGGCCCTGAAATTCTGCAATGGGAAGAGAGCGGGGAACAGATCAGAGTTTAAGACATTGCATAGTGTGCATAAAAGGAACATTATTTGGCTTAAAGCATTCAGGAAGATGGAGAGCATGAATGAACGAATAAATAACACATGGTCTGATTACCGGTCAATGCAAAAACGAATATGATTAAGTGATCATACAAGTGTTAAGTAGAACAAAGAATGACAATATATGAAAATGATTACAATAACAGTTTTAAATTGTCATCTAAAAATAAACCCGGTAATATTGAAACAGCTATCAAAACTTTTATCATCATACAAAGTGCCGAAGATACAAAAACAAACCTGTACATATGCTCAACGAAGTCATCAATTAAAACAGGCCAAGCACCTGCAAAATAACCAAACAACTAAGATTTACTGGGCATAAATACATGAGAGAGAGAACCCATAATACAGATTTCGAGAAACTTAATACCTTCAGGATCATACCCTTCTAGATTTTCATGTACACACCGATTGAAAGCTAAAACTTGCTGCCAGGTATCCTCAGAAATATTGTGCCGCTGATTTTTCTGAAAGAAAATGAAAACCAGTAGCTTATCTTAATTGAGAAATTGCAGTAGTTCATTCACAGGTATACTTTCAATTTCAACTAATAGAGCAGTAACAGAACATATGTCCAGCCCAGGCAATGACTACTATCATTATACACATACTCCGCGTGCAAAGGAATTTCAAAGGTAAGGCAATTAAACTAAAACAGATGGATGACTGCCTAGATGATATAATTGAAGAGCTAGATAGAACTTATGGAACACAATGCATGATTAACAACGAACATCACAGCTCTAATGAAATGTTGATGCACAAAGTGAAGTAGACCTAGATATCAAAACAATAACCAAAAGTTTCAAGTGATGCCTCTAGGATAAACAAAAAGGGGTAGTAGGTTAGTACCAGTATTACTCATACCTCAACGAAGTCGTACCATTGGTTAAGCAAACGGAACCTGCCAGTCAAGACTAATCTCCAAGCAGCAATTGCCCTGCTTACCGCTATCAATCATGCCAAAAGAGAGAGAGAAGTGATTCAAATCCAAGATCAAAGAAATATTTATTACAAAGATGAATCAATAAAAGCATTTGCATTTAACTGAGTAATATACAATAACTTACTAATATTCTTTTGACCGTTCTCTTGGCATATGAAGAAAACAAAATCATAGAAGCGTGAGAACTGAGAAAAGTCTACCTACAAAATAAAAATCAGCAAGTCAAATTCAGTATCGGCAACACAATGTCAGAGCATATAATCAATGACTGAAGATATACTTCATACTTCATAGTACAGTCTCAAAAATTTAAATAAGTACTTCAAATAAGGTCAATGAAGAGGAATCTCACCATCAAGTCCAGCTGTAACATGAGCTTGAGAAGTTCGTCAAAGACTGCATTCCTGTCAAAGGAAACATAATAAAATATTAAAATGAAGGCAAGAAACACTAGTGTGTGATAGGATTATGATCAAATAACCAATAAAGAAGACTAGATACACAAAATATGATTATGTTCAACGCCATACTTTTCACCTCAAATATTAGATTAGAGTTTCACTAGTGTATACATAACATATATGAAATTGTAGTAGTCTACACATTTACAATGTGTAAAATGGTATATGAGACCACAACACTCAAGATAGAGCGACAACTCCTCCGAAGAATGACATTAAATTCTATAAAAAAAACTAATGCATTCCTGTCAAAGGAAACATAATAAAATATTAAAATGAAGGCAAGAAACACTAGTGTGTGATAGGATTATGATCAAATAACCAATAAAGAAGACTAGATACACAAAATATGATTATGTTCAACGCCATACTTTTTCACTCAAATATTAGATTAGAGTTTTCACTAGTGTATACATAAACATATATGAAATTGTAGTAGTCTACACATTTACAATGTGTAAAATGGTATATGAGACCACAACAACTCAAGATAGAGCGACAACTCCTCCGAAGAATGACATTAAATTCTATAAAAAAAAAACTAATTTAGCATGAAATAATTTCATGTTTGAAGCTAAACTAAAAATATCTTCGACAACTCCTCCGAGGAATGACACTAAGTTCACATGGCATCCCTAAAATAACAAACCTATTCTTTCATGCCAACAGTTTCAAATGTCTTAAGACTCAATAACAGATTTTCTAGTCATCCTAATGGCAAATCAGAATTGGTAAACTTGTACATACAGATTGTAGACACGTATACTTACCTTGTCTGCATCCTTGCCTCTACCATCTTTAAGAGCTGATTCAATGGATCCCTCGAGAACTTGGCTCTTTGCGACTCCTCATCTTGTCGGTAGCCTTCTTCACCACAAACATATCCAAATCCTGTTCTAAGTTCTGCAAGACAGTTCAGAAGTTAATTCATTAAAAAAAATTGCATTACTTATATTTTTGCCTATTTTTCCATTAAGTTCGTTGGGACCAACGAACTAAATTATATAAAATTTTCCATAATTAAAGCAAGTTCTGAATATAAAAAAAATGAAGCAAAAAGTGACGGAATATTTTCAGCTCTCTTCCCCATAAATATTAAGCAACAATGCTAAACTCAAAAACCCTTAAACCAATTTTCAATATTTTCACCCGAGAATTATCCGAAGATTAAAAACTCAAACTTTCTTTCTGAACAGCAATCTAACAAAATTGAGTAATTTTTTTAAAGATAACAATGAAAGAATAAAGAAATAAAATCTCAAGAAAAAATGTGAAAAAATACCACAGGATCGCCGATAAATTTCGAAGATGTCAAATCGATTCGGACCCAAGGAGTCCATCGGATTCTCAGCTGTTTCCGGAGCACCGGCTAGTTGGGATTTCTTTTGTGAATGTTAAGTTTGAAATTGAGAAAAAACATAACCCACAAATAAATTTAAAACTGAACTTTCTCTTTTCCAGTGTCGTTTCAAAGGTACAGTAACCTCTCTTCTCTGCGTTTTACTGCAGAAATCAAATCTTTCTTTCAAGTCTTTTTTTCTTTTCAATTTGGATTTTATTTTCACAGGGAAATAAAGCAAGAGGAATACAAAAACTCTGGTTTTAGGGTGAAATTGAGGATTGAACCGGATCTTACTTTCGGTTCAGGGTACGGGAATAACATGTGACGCAGCGAATATTTTGTACTTGGTACTTACTCTCGTTCATTGCCCACCGCCTAGATTTCTTCTTCTTCGTTTTTTACTTTATACCTAAACTTCGAAGACATCCTTTACATGGTGTGATAATTCCTCATCCAACATTTACATCTCAATTAAAATTTATTAAATGGTTTTGATATAAAAAATATTCTTTTTCCTCTTCCACATTTGGATTGAAACAACTACATTTACATATATTATCCATAATTAAAATATTAATGAAAAATTACTTTCAACTATAAATGCTATTTTCTTTGTTTCTTTTTCTTAAATTTATTTAATTTAATCATGAGAATATATCCCATAAATAAAAAGAAAAAAACAGTAACAACCCGATACTTAGGTCAAATTTGACAATCCATTTTTTTTTAAAATCTGAATATTAATATAAGGTAGTATATGTTTAAAAGATTTTTAATCATTTAATAATAAGGCTCTTACTTTCAGCATACGTGGTGCATAAACTCGAGATTTCAAGGAATAACAACAAATCTCTTAGTTATTTAGTTAGTTTTATTTGTACATGATCTAACTTTTAAAAGCACAAAACACTCGTGATGAATTGATAACAACCATTTTAATAAAGTTGAATTTGATTATTATAAAGTTTAAATATAAATTAAATACCTAAAATCAAGTTGAGGGGTAAAATGGATTGAAAAAGAGTTTATGAACTAATTAAATACTTAAGGTCAAACTCAAGGACCAAATGGATAACAAAAACTTCTTGATCCTATTAGATAAATTTAGAGATAAATATGCTTTTAGTGTTTATTATTAAACGTTCCTCGTTCACTCTTTCAGGCGCCAGTGATATTAAACGTTTTATTTTGGATTTAATAATAAAGAATTAATGATTTTATCTATTAAATTATGTAAACTTATTAAATGATTTTAGTGATTAAATAAAGTATTATTTTCTCTTAAAATTTTGAGTTTAATAACCACATCTATGTGTATTATCAATAGTTATTTTTTTATGAATTATGTTTATATATAACTTCATGAGACAATTATAGACTTATAATATTTTTTTAACAAATATATCCCTTATTTTTATTTAAAAGATGAAATAAATTTATAAAAATATTTTTTACACTTAATTTATAAGAGAAACTCTTAAATATTAAGGAAACTAGTAGTATTTTTATTTATAAAATAAAATAAGAACCTAAATGTTGAGTTAATCGATCGATGAATCGGCCAAGAGGGGGTGAATTGGCAATAAAAATTTCGGTGGAAGCTTTTGCAAAAAATTGAAAATATTTGCACAACAATTTAGAGTGCTTCGACTTTCTCAACCAAAGTCTACGTCCACTACCTTAGCTATCCACACTAAGGATTTTCCACAAATTCACTAATTTGTCTTTCTTTTGAGGACAAAGAGTAACCTTACAACTCCCTCAAGAATTATACCCCAAATTCTTGATAACACTCTCTCCCAAAGAGAAACTTACAAATTTCGCAAGCTTACAAAAAAACCTCACAAGGTAGATTTTTTGCACAAATATAGAACAAAGAAAGAACACTCAAGAATAAATACAATTGAGTAAAAATGGTGTTCTTGAAAGCAAAATGAATATTGAATGAAAATAGGCTTGAAATGCTCAAACTTGAGGTTTGATGCTCTCTCTTTGATTCTCTAGCTTCTCTTCTTAATTGTTGTTGATCAATGGCTTCAGAACTTGTTTAAATACACCTTGGATCGCTTATGAACGTTGGGGATCATTGGTGAAGTCAATAGAGTTGTTATGGTGTGAATACCATTTAAAAAATATGTTGGGAGCGTAGGTGTATCGGTACACTATCAAGGTGTATCGGTACACTCAGTGTAAAATTCAAATATTTCGACTGTTGGTTGACCTAGTGTATCGGTACATCCTTGGTGTATCGGTACACTAATTACATTCGATGTTTGTCGGAGCCAAGAGTATATCGGTACATCAGTTGTGTATCAGTACCCATATTACATTCGAAATATGGGTGTATCAGTACATACATGAGTGTATCGGTACATCCCTTTGTAAAAATTATTTTTGGCCCGATTAAGGTTCGAAATACTTTGTAAAAATTGTTTCAAAAATATTTTAAGACTAAAACACAATTTTACACTTAAACAAGGATTAAAATTGACATTTGAAAACTTGGAGTAATATTTTTGATATTCGAATAATTTAATCGAATATATAATTTTAAATAAAATATAAAATCTTAAAGTTTAATAGTACTTTATTTGTTATGTCAAAACATCAAAATGTTTTCAACAATCTCCCCTTTTTGATATAACAAATCATTTTAGTAATTTTAAGATTTTCTTTGAAAATCATTTTTGAAAATTACTCCCCCTTACTTTATTCTCTCCCTTTTTATTAAATCAAAAAGACTCTTTGAAAAAAACATTTTTAAATAAGTTTTGAAGAAAATTAGCCAATTGATATTTATATAAATATAGTTTAAGCTACTAAGATCAAAATCAAGAGAAAGATTAGCCATTAGTCCATAATCAATATTCATAAACAATATGTAATGGTAATTGGTCATATTTAACTAAGATGTAAATGATGTAAAAATTAATGAAGTCAATATAAACATGAAGTTCAAATTAAATATTCAAACCATTCAAACAAATATATCCAATCATTAAAAAAAACAAACAAATCCAAAACATTCAAAATGTTATAACAATAAGTTCAAACTCAATCAAAGAAAACTAAGCAAGAAAAGATCAAATCATCCATAGGTGGATCGGGAGGAGGAAAATGTGATCGCATAGCAGCTATATCGAGTGAAAGCACATGTAGTCTTTCGTTAATAGCTTCGTTGTTAGCACACATCTCCCGTTGAATCTCCAATTATTGAACCCCCATAGGGTTAATTGGGACTCTATGGATGCAAACCTCAAGTCAAATGTCTCCATAAAAGATCGAAAGTATGGAGGCATTGGACTTTCTTGCTGGACCGGTTCGTCCTCGGGTACGTGATCATCGATATCTCGTATAAGTTCTTCAAGCTCTGGATCATAAGCAGCCGGTGTCGGTGCTACTCGTGAAGAACTAGCACCTGATGTTTTATGGGTTGATCGAACCCATTGATCTTTTTCCCCGGACCATCCCAATTTTTTCAAGGTTGTGAGATTTATTGGGTTCTTAAGAGGGATGACTATATCAAGTTGGACCCTAAGATTGGATTTGATAAAGAAATTACTAAGAAGACAACCGTAAACTAAGGTTTCTGTGTATTTAGACGGGATATTGTTTATGGTTTCTACTAGCTCAGTAAAAATGATTTGTGGCAAATTTATTTTCTTATTATGTTGGATACAATGTATCCACCATAAATCTAAAGCTCAAAGGGTGGAGTATCTACCTCCGGATGGTCTAAACCACCAAGAGATCATCAAATGAAGAAAACACTCGTGATGAGTTAACAAGGTACTCGTATTTGCCTTAGCTCTATAACGGGTAGCCACAATTTGTTTTTGTTATCTAGACCCTCGTTATCTAAACCAAAGGTGTTAGTGATTGTTTCGGAGTCAACATAAACGTATTGACCTAAGAGATAGGATCAGATACATACGGTGGCAGTTTGAGACTCATTTTGGACACAAACCTAATTGGAATAGAAAATGCAGACTAGTTGGTGATAAACGACAAGTTTGAGCTGAAAGAGTTTATCAAATTTCCAAGATATGAGGGTAGGAAGATATTCAAAATTCATATCGATCATGGCTTGGATTGAGGGGATACACTCTTCCCGGATTTTATATGACTCGAATAAGTTAACAAACCTATGGTAGAGACCTTCTCGACGACCAGGTTGGTTAAAGCAAGAATTAAGGATAGTCATATCGGGAATGTTTGGGTTTGGATTTGGAGTTGGAATAGGAGGTTGGTTTTGAGGTTGGTTCGACCGACTAAAAGATGACCTAGTGCATTTGGAATGAGACATGGTTAAAATCAGAATGGGATAAAGGAATACCTGCAATTTGAAAATATATGTATGCAATAATATCAATTCCCAAAACTCAATAAGAGTCATCAATATTCAAGGTTCTCTAAAAAATATCCTAATGGGCAATTTTTGAAAACTATATTGAAAACAATGTTTGAAAAATCATATTATGTATAGTTTTCATGAAACCAACATAATTAAATCAAAAACAACAATTTTATAAACAAAATAATTTTTTAATTTGAAAAATTTTGAAAACTATTTTGTTTTTGATGAAATTAGTTGTAGAATTTAGTTCAAAATCATAATATGAACAATGCCCGATATCTAATTCAGCCTAGAACTAATTAAAATGAGTCCTAAGTTCAAAAATTAATAAAATAGTGATTTTAGAAAAATTACCTTGAAAAATTGGGATTGAGTAGAATGTAGTGATATTTGCATGAATTTGATGATGCTAGCAGGTTTATATGTTGAAAAATGAATGAAATCCGACTTGAATCGTTGATTTTTTGGTGAAAATCGAGATTTTGGGTTATGAGAGAGGGAACTAAACACTTATAATGTTAAATTAATCAGCTCTAGTGGTATTGGCAACTCATATTTCGAAAATTAACAATTTTCAATCAATAAAATCTATCCTTAAAATTTTATTTGAACATATTATTAATTTTCTCTAAAGATCATAAACTCCCCCTAATTGTTAGCAAAGAATGCAATCAAAAGTGTTATTTTTATAAGCATTTTTTAATTCTAATTAAAAGTGCTAAAATTATTTTAAACACTAAGTCAATGTAGGTTAGTTAAACCTAATTCTATCATAAGTGTCCAAAATCTTTCTTTATCTAAAGGTTTTGGTAAAAATATCATCTATTTGATGCAAAGTATCAACAAATTCTAGAACTATATCTCCTTTTGTGACATGATCTCTAATGAAATGATGTCTAATTTCAATGTGCTTAGTTCTAGAGTATTGGAT